AGAGTGCAGAGACCTGCAAGCAGGGAGCGGGGGAGGCAGCAGGCCCCAATGCAGGCCTTCCCCTGCTGCAAGTTTTGGAGCTGCAGGCACATGGCGATAGGGCAGGCTCCGCTCCCTTCCCCCGTGCAGCTCTGGCCAGAGCCATGCACGTGCCAGGCACGAGCAACCTGACCTCCCTGCCTTCTGCGGGACTGCACGCCATGGGGGAGAATGTGTGCGTGTGGGGGGTCCCTACACCCCCCACCCTCACACCCACACTGTGCCCAGATGAGCTCTGTGCTCCAGCTGCCCCTCTGGATGCAGGCACCGCACTGCGCTCCCACTTCCGTCCAGCTACAACTCCCTCCCTCCCCACCCGCTTCCCTACCTGCTGCCCCGAGCGAGTAGGTTCCAGCTGCAGCAGGAGCCCTGCCCAGAAGCTGCTGGCTGGGCAGAATCCTTCCCCCAAGAGGGTGGGAGCGAGGCCCAATAGGGTATATTTTGGGGGGTTATACACATAGGTGCCTCACTCCCACTTTCGTGGACGGAAGGGCTGGGCGGGGTGCAATTTGTTGGGGAGCCCTGCAGGCTGAATGAAAGTTCCTGGCAGGCTGGATCTGGCCTGCATGCCATATTTTGCCCACCCCAGTCTAGAGGATCATGGAACATTCGTCTTTGTTGCTGGGGGCACTGGGATGGACGCAGAGAAATAATTATACTAAGGAAAGATATTTGTGATGAGAAACTGCAGGTGTGTGTGCCTGAGTTGGTATACAAAAATGAGAATACACAGAAAAGATGCACCTAGAAACAAAGCAGAAGAGGATGAGAAGAAATATAAAAGCACAAGAGTTTATTTCCATTTGGAAGAAAAGATGAGGAAATCATCTCTACTGTCCCACAGAAAGAAGGGATATTAAAATCTTAACTCAAGAGGTACTACATTATCTATCTTGTAAATTTTTTAACCAAAATAAACTTGGAATAGAGGATTTTTCATACCAGAACAGACTAACAAACTATTTACATTACTGTCTTGATTGATAGCGGTTAGCATGGGAGAGTTAACACTAAGGCAAAACAGCAGAGCTCTACCAATGTACTCCAGCAGAGAATCTAGCCCTTTATTGGAAAGACAAACTTCAGCAGCATTTCCGAAGTTTAGAGATAACAGAGAATTGAGCTTTCTATTCCAAGCAGATACTATCCATCCAGCATCTGTTCCACACAAGGCTTCACGGTGTGCTTGGAGGTTAATCCTGCATGTGCATTTATTACCGCCAACCATTCTGCTTTGGTGGCAGGCTGCTCTGTAGCTTGACACTATCGTTTTTTTCTTTTCTCCCAGGATGCCTTCAGTCAGTCAGCTTGTTGCAATAATTAATAGTGGCTCTAGCAGGGGGCTGAGAACCAGGGCTCCTAGATCCAGGAGGGCATTCAGAAGGCTGAACGAGGGTGCAGGGTCAGAGGGAGGGAGGGAGGGGATGGCCAGAATAAACTAAGATTTCAAATTCTGATAGCCCAACATGAAAAGAGTTTTCCAGTTGGAGGCTTTGGTCTGATGTCCTCAAATACATCAAGATGGTGTATTACTGCTGCTGTGAATGTCCAAAGGCATTTTTCTCCATGCTGCTTCTACTGTTTTGGACTATTGTGCCAAAGTTTCTCATGTCTATTTTAATTGTTTCAGTGTGTCTGACTCTTATTGGTTTATATGTTTAGTCTTGTCCTTATTTAATATGAATTAAAATGCCACTGCCACCACCAGTCTGAGTATGTGAGTCAGAATAGAAACTATTTAAATAATACTATGGATTGTATCCATCTGGTTTGATATCTAGATCTGATCCACACAGAATAATGCTGGTCTTGTCTTCCACTACTACTGTCTGTTATTGCTCATGAAGTGTTGACTGTGACTGTGCCCACAAATATGTTTTGTTCTTGTTCTCATTAAAAGCCAGGAGAGTGTGGTTCATTGCATGTGTGTACGTGAGGTTGTTTTGATTATGTTACATTCACTGTGGAAAACTCATATTCTGCCACTGCAGCACTATGGGACAATGAGAACAGAATTTCCAACATGAAAAATGCTTCTTGAAAGGAAGAGGGCATGGTGGTTAAAAGGTTTTTGTTTTTGAAAAGGACATCCATGTTCACCATCATTCCTAGTCATTTTGATGTTCGGAGCATGTAATCTTAGAAGGAACCTGACAGAGCCCCTTTCCTTTTCATTCATCACTTATGTAAAATGTTCTAGATCTCAGTTTGTACACTGCAATTATAGCCATATTTGCTTAAAATCACAAGGCCACCCTAAGAAATAAAAGTAGTAAACAGGGGTTGCTGTAATCTAATGAATTTGTCAACTGTATATTTAACACCAGCTTCAAACATATTCATCCAAGATTCTGGTACCTTTTTTCTTAATGGCTCAAGAAATATTAACCTGTTCAAATTGGTTATTCTGATGGGTAAGGTTTCAAGACAGGACAACCAGTACTGTGGATTATAGCATAGAATTTTATACCTTTGGCAGAACTTGCAATAAGAGTACCTTCTAGAAAAGAAGAAATTGAGTCCTAGTGATGACTAAGCCGATCAAGAAATACAACGTCTCCAAAAAATTGTATGTCTTGATCTCAGTCTCCTTAACAGTCCCCTTCACTTGAGCTACATCAGCCCCCAAACCTTGAACTTTTCAATGGAGATTGTTTTTCCTATCAGATATTCTAAATATTAAGCTTCAGATTGGTACTCTGTCCTGCCTCACCACAACATGAGCATTTTGCCTAAACCTGGCCTGCTCACTATCTGAACATATCTGCGGTTCATATTTACAGTTTTGTTATCAAAACTCAAGCTCACAGGTTTTTATTTGATCTCTTCTGCCTTAATCTTCATAACTTTCATAAAGAAGTGTTATTCCCAAAATACTAATACTAGCTTCCCCAGTTCTGCTTATATGCCCAAACAGTACATCGACAAAGAAAGTGCAAGTTTTCCATCAACTGCTCGTCTGAAGCACACTGCATCTCGCTCAATTACAAATTCATCAATGGATCCTGCAGCAAACATGGTAATAAATCTAGCTTTCTGTATTTCTGAGACAGATCCCTAAGAGACCTCAAACTTGCCTTTAAGAAGTTTTCCTCAGCATTAGGGGAATACAGTCTGATCCAAGGTTACAGTGTGCTTTGGGCTACAAATTGTACAGAATTTAGAAACCTGAGACCATGTCTACCTTGGGAAAAAGCTGATTTCTTCAACACAGTTAGCTTGCAAACTAGACTGAATACCCCACTTAAAAACAACGCAGACATTTTTGATGTGTTGTAAGACACCCAAGCCATCACAATTTAAAAATAAACCAAAAAACAAACATAAGATGCAGCCCTTTAAAATAGTTTAGTGATACTTCCCCCTCCCAAAAGGTGGCAAATTTACCCTGAATAAATCAGGGCTAAATGTCTGCCTTTTGATGGACAACCAGCTTGTTTGTCTGCAGCTGTCAGGCTTATGCCCTGAGCTTTGCCTCTCTGCTCATGCATTCGTAGCCTATTTTTCCTTCTAAAGCCCACAATTTTCCTAGTCTAGATATGGCCAGAAGTCCTTTGCCTTGAAGGGCAAGAGCAGTGAATTTTTCTGATTTTGTTAGTTAAATCAAATTGAAAAACCCTTCAATGCTCCTTAAGATGCAAGCTAATTCATTTTAACCCACCAGCTACAACAACAGAGCCTCCTAACATGACTTGGACTTGTTAATTTGTTTCTTAATAAAGGACAGGAGGCTTTTCAATTATATTGAAAAAAAGGCATAAAACTATAATCGCACACAGAAATTGCATCAGTGGTGTTAAAATAGGAGGCACGATCTTGGATCTCCTCATGTTTATTTGCGCTAAAAAATGCAGTAACAGGAACTTCTTGCAGATAAAGTGTTGTATTTCCTGCTTTAATGCACGTCATACAAGCACCTGGTCTATATGCAGGCATCAATTTTAGGAGGTCCTACCCAAATTTAAAGGAGGACTGTCCTTTTTTGGAAAGCTACCAGTGTATTCTGCCAATTACGCGGAACACTTCATCTTTCTACACAGGACTCAGTTTTTGTGAATTCTGCAATCTGTGTCTGCACCTAAGTTTCTCATACTCTTTAACATGTTCTTCTCCGACACATATTGGACAGGCTAGACATAAGGAAAAACTTCTTTACTGTCCGTGTCCCCAGGGCCTGGAATAAATTCCCCCCAGAGGTGGTCCAGGCACCTACTCTGGATTCCTTTAAGAAACACTTGGGTGCCTATCTTGCTGGGATCATTTCACCCCAGCTAACTACCTGCCCTTTGGTCAGGCTAGACCTGATGATCTTGCGAGGTCCCTTCCAGCCCTAATATCTAATGTCTATGAAATACTTAGTGCTTTTTTAACCTGAGGGCTTCAACATTATCCTCCGCTAATTTAAATGGATGGGTTTTTGGTTTTGTTTTTTACTCAAAAAACTCCAACAGGGCAGGTTGATACATTTCAGACATACTTCATCAAAATCTTATTTTATCGGCGTATGTGGATATAACAAACGTGTTTAAATCAGCGCAAGTCAAGGCCTAATTCTGCAAGTCGGCCTCTGCTGCTTAGGGCCAAGGCAGTTCAAGCCAGCATTTCCGGAGTTGCCAACTCTTCCGGTTGGACTGCAAGACGTGGGTAGGGGGGGCGTCAGAAAACCCCAGCGGCTGGAAGTGATCCATTTCGGGGAATCTTCGCTTTTGTTTTGTTTAACAACAACAACAAAAGGAATAATAATAATCATCCTCATAATAATAAAAATTAAAGTTAATAATCATAAAGATGAAGTTAAGCGTTTATCCCTCCTGATTACAGAGAAAACCTGGAAAGTGGGACCCAAATGGAACCTAGAGGCTGCAGAAAAACCAGAAGGCAAGCAATCAAAAACACTTCTCCTTGTTATCAGTGATCACAATTGGCAGGTCACATCTCTCCATCGGGGGGTGGGCACTAACCTGACCAGGTCGGTCATGCAGGACCCCACCACCACCACCTGCGCCATGGTGGGCCGCCGCCCCGTGACCCTTGACCCTCACCCGCCGCGGGTTCTGCCTGCAGGTCCTCCAGCCGGCGCGGGGTGCCCGCTCACGTGCCTGAACGTCCCGCCAAGCCGCTCTCCCAAGCTGCCCCTTGAGAGGACCTCTCTCCGCGCCCCTCATTTAGCCGCCGCCCGCCCAACCGGCAGAAAAGACGGCCCTCTCAGGCACGTTACAGACGCCTAAATCTCCATGAGGCCCCCCTCCCGTGGGCTCGGGAGCAGCCTTCGGGATAGGGGTGGGTCTGCGCCTGCGCGCCAGCGTGTGACCGCGGCCGTTGCTAAGGGGCCGGCGCACGCTCCCCCCCGCGACCGCAGGTACCCGGAGGCCGCGCCGGTGGGGGGCGGGGGAGCAGCGCCCCCGCCGGGCCGGGACGCATGCGCGCTGGGTATCTCCTTTCAACAAGGGGAAAGGGGGGCTGGTGGGGGAGCGCCCCCCTCACCCCCTCGTGACCCGTCTGTGGGAGCCCCACCAGTGGCCGTGGGTCCTGGGGCCCTGCCTGGTCTCTCCTGCAGGGATGTCTTGGCCCAGGACAGTGGTGCCCAGGGTGCAGGACTACGGGGAGCCCTGTGGACTGGGTGGGGACTGGGCCAGCATGTGGAGTGGCTCCTCAGTTGCACCCTGATGCCCTGCTGGATGTGGCCTGCAGACTTGGCCCACGTCCGCCTCCTGCATGGGGCCAGAAAGTCGAACGCCACCAGCCTAGGAGATGCCTAGGCCTGTTCTCGTGTATTATCCATAGTGCGGTCGCCCCTGTGGAGCAGGACTGACAGGGTGCTGTGCCCTGCAAGCAACCCAGCATGACAGCCTCTGCTCCCAGGAGCTGGCAGTGTAGCAAAAAGCTGTGGCCCGACTGCTTGGCATATCAGGCTGCACGTGCCTGTCGTCTTAAGGGACTGGTTCCAAATGGACGTGTGTTGAGGGAAACAGGCACCAGCTACAGGCCTCTGTTCAAATGGGAAGGTATGAAGCATCATCCTGGTCGCGGGTGCTTTGGCTAAGATCAGGATGCAGTAGTGTTGAACCCCGTGGATTGGTGCTGCTCACCTGTGTGTTAACAGCAGCAGCATCCCATTTTATCGCAGCTCCTGTGCTCCTTGGGGCCTGGGCAAATCAGCACAGCAGTTCTCGTTTGGGGACTGGCAGTGGGTAGTGTGTTTTCTCCTTGGGATTTTGTGAAGGAGTGTAGGCAGCAGTAACACTGTAGCCTGACCCATTCCAGTTATCAGAAAAGACAACTGCTATATGCCGTGGACTTGAACTAGGTGAGGCAGAAGGCCCTCAGAACGAAGGACGCAAACACAAATGGTAAAGAAGAGTAAACAGAATTAATATAGACTTGGGGTTAGATGGTAAACCTCCTTGAAGTATTTCAGGGTAATCTCTCTTGCTCATTTAGAAGTGCTTCCTACAGGATGTTTACTTGTGGATTAATTTATATAATCCTTATAAAGTTGCCACACAGGTGGGGAAAGGGTACACTTTCTATTTGGACACCTTCTACTGCTGAAGCAGCTAAAAGTTTCATATTTAGTAAGTGAAGCATGCAGTACACCCCTTTGCTACTAATGGCAGATTATCAGAACTAAGAGGATTCAAATTTTGATTTACTTTTTCCTCAAAGTATTTAGTTCTGAACAATGAAACTTGACTTGCTCTTGGGTCGCTTTCATTTCTCTGGTTCCTCTGGGTTACTCAGTACTCTAGAGCAGGGGTGTCAAACTCATTTGGCTTCCAAGGCTGGACCCCAGCTACAGGACTTTTTATAGGCTCAATCCGGTTTTCATGGCTTATTGTGGGCTGGATTTGCACCAACATCCGGCAGTGGAATGAGTGGCCTTGTTGGCTCGGGGAGCTGTGGGAGTTAATGCAGCCATCTCTTCCCACTACCACTGATATGTAGAGGTGCATCAATACACTGGTCCATATCGTATCAGATAAAAGGGAAATTGACATTATCGGCAATTGGCTTTTTTTGGCTGATGTGGCTGATAATGTCGCCGATAAAAATACTGTGTGCATAGGCTCAGCAGCAGCATGCACGTGGCCAGGAATGCAGCCTGGCAGTCTGACCGGTAAGTCTTTGGGGAGGGAAGGGGCATGGGGAGGGCAGATCAAGGCCCCCACAGGGAGGGAGGGAGGGAGGGTGGGGTGCGGGACAGAGCTCCGGGCAGCTCATCTGGGGGGTGTGGGGGATGGAGAGTGGCTCCTGCTGCTTCATGCAAGCCTGGGGGAGGCACGCGAAGCATGTGCCCCCAGATTTGTGCATGGATGAGGGCAGACTGCCCACTCAGGGCTGGGGTGGTGCTGAGCTCTTCCTGGCAAGGAGGTTGGGCCAGGGCTGCACTCAGGTGCGGGACAGAGCTCCGGGCAGCTCATCTGGGGGGTGTGGGGGATGGAGAGTGGCTCCTGCTGCTTCATGCAAGCCTGGGGGAGGCACGCGAAGCATGTGCCCCCAGATTTGTGCATGGATGAGGGCAGACTGCCCACTCAGGGCTGGGGTGGTGCTGAGCTCTTCCTGGCAAGGAGGTTGGGCCAGGGCTGCACTCAGAGCGAGTGATCCCGCGACCAGGAAGAGCCTGGTGCTGCACCTGGCGCCAGCCCACAGTGGCATCCTGCCCTCATTGTGCACGTAGATCTGGGGGGTATGTGCCCCTCATGCCTCCCTCAGGAGCTGCTGCCCGCACCCCCCGGATGAGCGCCTCACCCTGCCCTGGCTGTGCAGCCCCTGCCCCAGCCCCACTCCTTCCCTCACCATGGGGGCCTCGATCTGCCCCCCCCCCCCCCCCCCCCAATAGACTTACTGGCTGGACGTTGGTCTCCAAGCTGCTGGACTGTATCTGCCAATACTGCTCGTTAATAATCAGCTGTCGGTATGGGCACAAAAATTCTTGATCGGTGCACCCCTACTGAAATGCATGCTCAGTACAGTTCTATACCCTGGATTTTGGCAGCGGGACCTGCCCCCTCTCATTCCCCCTGAATTCCTGGACCTTCCAGGAACCCTGAGGGCCAGATGACATGACTCTGTAGACTGGATCTGGCCTGTGGGCTACATAGTTTCATAGTTGGTAGGGTCAGAAGGGACCTAAGCACATCATCTAGTCCGACCCCCTGCCATGTTTGACACCCCTGGCCTAGTGTTTTATTTTGAATGCTACAGGATGGGGAAGAGAGAATTATTATATATTTCAGTGAGAATTAAAGTAATTAATGAACCAAGTGTCGTTTTACTTTGTAAAGCCCCTTTGTTCACAAAATTGGTGTTGGTAAATGTATAGGTTCTGTAAATGTGCATAATAACTGGCTTAATATATACCCGCTTGTAGTGATAGATTAGAAAAATTGGTAGGAACTGTATGCCCTTCCGACATTGTCCTTGTATTTCAAAAATGGATTGGAGGCAAGAGGCCTGATCCCACAATTTCTTGTGGAGAGTTTGTAGGTTCAGCTTTGAGACGCTGAACGTGTCTACGTTCTATCAAAAAAGAAAATGCTGTTTTACCTGAAGAGACAAGTTGGAGGATAATTACTATTTACTCATATTTTACTTCAGGTTCTTTCTGCACATCTTTCAAAGACTTCCTGGAGACGCATCTTTTGAGAGTTTATCTTTGCTGGGAAGAAAATAGTCAGTTTATTAGGACATAGATATTTGGTACTTCATCTTTTGGATATGCCATGAACAATAGTATATTGGAAAGCTTATGATTTAGATGCAAAGGGTCACTTTAACAGTCTCTTGATTGGCATGAGATACTAGATCTTTGCTTGAATAGTGTGTGTCAAAAAACAGGGCCCATATTACTACTTTCAAAGATTTGCTCATAATACTTTAATGTGATTAGCAAATTTTGTGCTAATGAAAGCCAATCAGATGCTTCATACTGTTAACAATTACAGGCAATTATCAGTTTGTAGGAAGTAGCCATTAGTCACCTGCTAGTGCTTGTAATTAGGATTTGATTCAAATTGGTGAGTGTTAGAACAAGAGAGAAGCATTGCAGTGTGAAGGTTTCTGGTGCATTTAGTAATTTACTCTCTTTCTAGAACACTTGATAATAGCTAGGGATCCTACAAATCTGTTTCCATGCAAAAAGGTGGAATTTACCTTTTTACAGAGAATCTTTAGAATCACCAGGAAAAAAAAACCTTCCCGAAAATAAAATGCTGGGTCCCCAGTGGTGCCCAGCTGGTCCCACTTCCTGCCCTCCTTCCATTGCTCTGACTGGAATCTCTGGGCTCCCCCTCTCTCCTCTGGCTTTCACTTGTACCCACCTCAGGGAGGTGGGGTGCTGTGGCATGCTATGGGGAGCTGATGGTGAACTCAGAACATGCCATGCAGCAGTTGGTGCGGGTGTCTGCTTAGTGTGTGGCTGGAGGGCTCATGGCTCCCACTGGTGCAGCTCCCACAGCGCATGGCCCTCATTGGCATAGACCCTGCTGCTGCAGTACATGAGGCATGTGGCCCCTGGCTGCTGAGAAGATGGGCAGTTGCAGTATACTTCATCATGGTACTCAGCGCAATCCAGAAGCACGAGCCTTTAGACATGACCCTTAACTTAACAAGTTTAGCAAATTGCTGCATTCTTAGGAGTTGGGATGGTTCCTTCCTGGTAGGGGCAGGATATTTAGCAAAAGCAGAGGCCAAAGCAAGACTTTCATTATTGTCTTCAGATTCAGTGAGCAGCTCTTCTGATCTGATCTGATTGTCACTGCTATTAATGTAGAAACAGAAGACTTTATTATTCCATCATTCTCTATTGACACTCCTTGTGTGTGTGTGTCAGTTTATATTACATTCTTGATCATTTGAGTTAATCATTTGGTTAGATTAATGGTTACCTAACACATCAGATTTGCTCATCTTTGCAGAAATGGTAACATAATGCTTTCTTTGATTTTTGCAGATGACAAGGGAGTTTCATTAGGTCAGTAAAGTAAAAATGCATAGAGGCCTTCATATTTTCTTTATTTCTTTTGCAGGCAGAGCTTAGGCTCATAGGAAAGGACGAATTATGTCTCCCGAAGTTGCCTTGAATAGAATTTCTCCTGCGCTCTCGCCTTTCGTATCCAGTGTGGTCAGGAATGGGAAAGTAGGATTGGATGCTACAAATTGTTTACGTATTACAGATTTGAAATCTGGGTAAGTATTTGAACTCCGTTTCCAAGGAGCAGACTTTGGAGATATGTAACGTCTTTATTTAAGAATGTTAATTTTACTGTTCCTATTTGTATTTTAAATGTTCCCAATATATTTGGAGCAGAGAGGTTAACCAGAATGTTTTCTTTTGTCCTTGACTACACTTTAGTGCTTGAGATTTAAATTTGTTTAGCTGTTGCTAATAGCTGTTTTGCTGAGAAAAAATAAGTTCAGAAGTCGCTTTGGTAATACTGTGTTTTGGAAAAGAGCCTAGAGTTTTGAAGATTCTGTCTCCTTGGTTATCCTTTGCTTATTTTCTCAATCTAAAGTGGATCTTGCATAGTTCAGACTAGTGGATCTTGCCTGTGGGGGGAAAAAAAGGCATCCATTGCTATAATGGGAAAAGACTAGATCTTTTTCAGTCTGATTTGTTTCAAGGGACCAATAGGTACATTCATTACTTATACCAAAAGTCCTATCATAACTGGTGTATTTTCATTCAGTAACTCTAATGCAAAATGAATAAGTACTGTTGAGACTAAGGACTAGAACCGGGACTTTCCTCTTCCTCCTGCATAAATACGTTCCTCACTGGGCTCTATAGTCAGGCTTCTTTTTGGTTGTGCATTCACTTGCTCTCACTCACTCACTCTCTTTGTCCCTGTAATCTTGCATGGCATTTTTGGCAGTGGCCCAGCTTCAACGAGAAGGATTGAGAGTATCCTCCCTACTCTAGACTAGCCAATACTCTGTTGAGCCCTCTTCTGAAATGTGGGGTTTGAATCCCAGTCAGGGTAAGGAGAGCAGGTCCTATTTTCTAGGCAAGTCCTCTTACCTATAGCCTTTTATATGAAATTTTGGGAGCATCACCATCACTGCTTGTTTTTGTGGAAGTGGCCATGACTGCTGTGCTTTGTGCCGAAATCAATTCTCTCATTTTGCATTATTCATGTGCTGACTAAACCTACAGGATTAGGCCTGTAGAATACCTAGTGGTAGGGAACCTTTGTGAATCTTACACCTATGGCCTTTTGAGACTGCTGAGACAAGCAAAAGGGATAGAAAGAGATTTATACAAAACCGTATGGCAAGAAGTTGCTTGACTTTCAGGTATGAATTATATTGCGTGTATAATATATGTTATCTTTTTTTCTTCTGAACTGGTACTTTTTGAATAATGTCTCTTTAAAGGAAAACTGGTTTGTTTGTCTGTTTGTGTAAGTGTACTTCTTCTAGAGTAGGGGTGGGCAATTATTTTGGCTGGAGGGCCACTTAATGACTTTGGTGTCTTTGAAAGGGCCACATGAGTTTTGGTGTCTTTGAAAGGGCCACATCTTTCTCCATCCCTGTCAAGAGCTGTAGCGTGCCCTGATCCCCATCCCTGACCGGGAACCTGCTGGCCCAATCGACAGCACAGACCATGCATAAGTGCTGATATGGAGAGGGCACAGCTCCCTGCTACCGATGCTTCCAGGCACTGGGTCTGGCTAGGCTGCAGCCCCATGCTCTGTGCCCCACAGTCGGCATAGAAGTTGAACCACTGCTGCCCCCCTGATGCTGAGCCCTAGTTCCAGCCAGGCTGCAGCCTTGTTCCCCACCATCAGTGTAGAAATCTGTGGGGGGGTCATGTGCCTGTGTCCAGGCCCCCCCCATGTGTCATCTCTAGCCTGCAGCTTACGTTACCACTCACCTGGCATGGTGAAAGTAGCCCTGTGTGGGTGCTGGCATGAGCTGTGGATGTACCTGGGATGTTCCGGGTGGGGATTGGGGTGTCCGCTCGGGTCCACAGCTAACATTGCTGCGTCAGCACTGGGTGGAACTAGTCCTGGCTGCCTGCCTGGTGTGGTGGAAACAGCAACGGCTGCCTGCCTGGCATCACACAGCAGCTGGAGCTGGCAGCTGCCCTTGGGCTGGATCGCATGAGTTGGTGGCTACGTGCTTGCAGGCCAGATACAGTCAGTTGGCAGGCGGAATCCAGCCTGCAGGCCATATTTTCCTACCCATTCTACAGTTTTTTGTTTATGTAGTATTAATGTTTATATTGTATAGTAATGCCCAGTGTCTGGAATATATATGCACAGCAGTCTAGAATACAAAAGATGCCATCCTAGCGAGGACTTAGGTTTTGCTGTATGAAATGGGTCCAGGTTCTTAATACTTGTGTTCTTTTTTTTTTTTCTTGGTTCATAGCCTGCTGTTTCATAATATGTCTTGTCCATAGCCTGCTGTTTCATACTACCTCTTAGTTGTGAGGTTGGAACTTGTCTTTGGGTTGGTGCTGAAACTGAATTGGAGTGATCCAAGATTCACCTGTATACCTAGGCCTTTCAGAGGACTCAGGTATATGAACACATTTCCAAGAGAGCCACAAAGTAAGGGGGAAATGAAGCGGGCGGGGGCAGAGGTCATCACTTCATGAGGTCTGGATGGAGAACGTTTTGTATTTGAAAGCTTATCCAAGTCTAACCCAACCACACAGTTGGTCTAATAAAACATATCTCCTCAAAAAATCCTTGTCTTGCATAATTCTTGCACTGGTTGAACTATTATAGCTCTGTACTTTTATATCCTGCTCCTCTTGTATTCATATAACCAAGTAAATAAAATATGGAGGCCATATATAGTATATTTCATATTATCTGTGATGTCGGTTAGTGGAAAATTTATCCTCCTAATTGTTTTTTATCAGTCAATTTGTATTTCACCATTTCTACCTGTTTAGATTTCCCTATTGAGGTCAGGACCATGGACTGATATTGTTCTCTACAATTATTTAAGAATTTAAATAGGAATGTACATATAACAGTGATGTTCTTTCTGGAGCAGATCCTGGCAATATGCAAGTTCACTTTCAAGCTTTAAGGGGATGTTCATGACTTGGTTCCTGAACCACAGTAATGTTTTATTATTTTTTGCATTCTGTTTGCAAAACTCAATATGTTTTGGTATTTCCTTTGTCATTTGGGTATTTCCGTTTTTAATGTAAATGCAAATTCTACAATTCAGAGTATTTCATGGAATCATTTTTGAATTTACTGTGCAAGATGGGAATAAAGACTCTTTTATTATAGTAGTATTTCCCTTGATTTCTGGCAGTGATTCATTTGAATTTAAAAGTTCTCCAGATATTGGAGAAACATACGTTAAAAAAATTAACGAAGAAATGCATATTTGATTTGCCATCAAGTCTGGCAGGCTTGATGACTTTTGTTGTTGTACAAACTAATATTCTGAGATTTATTTTTAAATGGTTGTCTGCATAGCTGGGTGAAATTTGATGGCCCCTGAGATGGCTAATGGGATATGGAGCTGCTTGCTGCAGGGCTGAATAGGCCGTAGGCTCTTATTGGATTTTTTGTGCAGAGTAAGTTGGAATTCTTCCCTGTTTCTAATAGGTATGTGTCCACATTGCAGAAAGAAAGCAAACTGAACTCCAATGTGATTGCAGGTGGTTCCCTTGTCAACCTCAGCACAAAAGCCACACATGTAATGGACACAGAGGCTGCAGCTCCTTTGAGGAAAAGCTCTGCCTCTTTCTGTGCTGTTCTGTGGAGTTAGAGTGCAGCTTCTGACTCTCATTCTTGACCTTTCACTTTTAGAATATGTGGACAAAAGGTGGGGGAAGGAACGTGTATAATTTTCAGCATAATATATCCAACTGCTAATAGTTTGTAAATTTTCCCTGGAAAGGTGTTAATGTTTGAAACGAAGGCTGGAAGTAACAGCTTTGAAAGAAAGAAAAAAGAAAGAGAGCGCTTGCTTGCCAGCTCAAAAGATGAGTGTTCATAACATTTTAAAGGAGGGAAAGCGGGGGAGGAAACAATTAGGGCAGTAACATGAATGAGTAACAGGCATCACTACGTCAACTTGTTTGAAAGACTACTAATTTTTCTTTCGATCTGAGCTCACCTTAAACACTTGTCTGACTTATGGTTTATTATCTTTAAGCTGAATGAGCGAGCGACTTCCTTCTAACTTTGCAAACGTTGAATGCTGTTTTGATCAAATGCATGTTTTAATAAGAATGAGGAAACTTGGTACTTGGTAGTCATTTAGTATTTGGTTACAGAGAGCTTGATATGATAGTCATAAATCTACCTGCTAGATGCACTTATTTTTTACTGTAAACAAAGAAGACGGCTATTTAAAAATACACATATATTTATATAGCATATGTGTATATATAATATAAAAATATCTGTTTTTGTTTACAATAAGGAAGAAGTGTATCTAGCAGGTAGATATATATTTTAGTTGTGAACTTATTGAGCATTTTTGAAAACCAGAACCTATATTAACAGACCAGAGATTTCTGCCAAGTACTTCCAGCTACCATGACTCATGCTTACCTTTTATCTGAATTGTGTAGCATTATGAAGAGTTCCTGTCATTGAAGGGGTCTGTTTAGGGAGCTTATCAGGGACAGGCTATCAGGCCCTAAAAATCAGCAATCTGAAGCAGCCAAATACACAATTGAATGTTGGACATTAGTTAATTAGATACAAATGGATAAGTTGCCAATATAAGCTGTGAATCTTGAGTGCTTGAACCTCCAGAGTGTTTAACAAGAGTCTGAAAATGAAAATTGACCTTGTGTCTCAATCACCTTGTAAACATTAGTGGATAGAAGAGAAGTGGATTTGCCTGCCTGCACTGTTGTTTAGGTGAATTCCTTTTCCAAATCTGTGCAGTGAGTTATAGTCTAGAATGTATATTGCTAACCTTTACCTGAATTCCAGGAAAAAAACATCAAATTAAATGGTTGTTTGGTGGAGTTCTTTGTTATATATGAAACTGAGGTAAAAGAAGCTAACTTCTATTTTGAGTCTCAGACAAATTAATCAATTCATGCAATTGGAAATTTCAAAAGAAGGTGAGATAATATCAGAAGCTTGACCCTGAAGGGCTGTTATTCATATATACAACACTGCTTAAGACCTGATTCTGCTACCCCTATGTCATGCCCAACTGAGCTGAGACACTTGTGTAGTAAGGGACTGTTA